TATCATGAGTATGTATTCAATACCTCGAATTGTACTCTTTATAAGTTAGTTGTCACCTCACTTATATTGGAAATCAACGTGCACAGGGGTATTGTTTATTACCTTGTCTATAAATTCAATATTACCATTTTTGCTATAAATTGAGTATAATAAGGGATGCACTGAAGAATTGATTTGGGACAGTTCCTATTTTTTTTTAGTATAAACTTTTCCTAATTTTTTGTTTTCCTTCAGATCAGTACAAATCTTCGATGAAGTATATATTTTTCGATATTCCTTGTTTCTGAATCCACATGTCTTGTTATTAAATCGATATTCACCTTATGTACATTGGCATTTAACGTACCCACCCCATTGTCCCGCTGAACTACCAGTGTTTGGTTTCTACAGTCTCAAACTAGACACTTCAAACACTATATTTTGTAGCTAAACCTTTGAGATTCAAAATACCGAGTCAATCTCAGACAAGTAAACAGCTAACTCAGGGGCAGAGTTTAGATAAATTTTATCATTAATTACCCCCTGAAATTAGCAACGTTACATATCCACATAGAAAAGCTTAGGGAACCCCCTGTTATTGTTTCAGATACCTCATCTCCTACACCTTCGGAGAACTCGACTTTCCGAGATTCCACAACTCAAACCAGAAACCCGGAATACTATCCTATGAGTCACAAAACGCCCAAGAAAAGGTAGATTTTTTAATGTTTATACAAATATTTGATAACAGTAAATATAACTGCAATATTCTAAGCAAAATACACTGAGGAGAATATGATAGAGGATCTCATAACTCATATAAAGTGATAGCCAACATTGAACGAGAAATTAAATCTCAATTAGATCAACTCAATTTAGTCATAAGTAATGAAAGAACTGAAATATGACTGTCATATGGCCTGGAAACAATCATCAAGACATTGGCAGAAAATATAGATCGGAATGACGCAGAAAAATATGATCGTGGAATTCAAAAATCGTCCGAAAATCAATGAGAAATGAAAACAATCATAGCAGACCAAATAACTTTACTTAAAAAATCTGATGAATTTCTCAAAAATAACACAAAGGCCCTAGCACATAATAAAATCGTACTAGAATCTAGAATTTCAAAAATTGAATAAGTGCTCGAAAATAAAGAACTCAACCATGCAGATAACTATGAATATTTTTTCATTCACGTGGTCCTATCTAATAAATACAAGATCTCAAGTATTAAGAGATATTTTGAAACGAATCGAAACTGCAATCACTTTCTCCAAGTTGAATACTTTTCATAATTCCATGATAAATCAAAATAAACTTCTACAGGGTGCGCCTCTCAAAATGGAACCCCCCCTTAACTCTTCTGTTTCCGGAGATATGAAAAAATGTTCAATTGAAAAGTTGTTTAAAACGACCCAGACTTTTATTTCGTAAAGTTGTTTCATATATAGGGTCATTCGTTTTTCCAGAAAGAACATCAACTTTGATTTTTTCAATGGAACACCCTATATATTTTCCGACATGCTGATAGAGCTATTTTTTCTGATTCCAAAAATATTATGAGTTGTATGTTCGGATGAAGAATGATTGAGTTATTGATGATCAAAGTTGACCAAAATACCGCTTTATGAACCTTCACTTCATATCATCTAATAATGTGAGTTGAACATAGTGGGCTTTGAAATAATGTTTATAAATTGGTTGAGCTCCATGTTTATTATGAAGTTGAAAACGTACGTTTTTTATAGCAAAAAAAAAGGTTACAGTTCGAATAAAAGATGCGAAATTTTGGAAATATATATTTCTTGCGGGAAAAATACAACCGCTGCTCGTAAGGTTAATACGAGAGTAATGGAACCGATCAATAAACAAGGCCGGAGAAGTGTGAATGTCTGGTGTAGTGTTTATAACACTAAAGTAATTGGTCCCATCTTCATTGATGGCAGTCTTTCGGGGCAAAAATATTTGGACATGTTGCAAGGTGATATTGAAAACTTGCTTGATGAAGCAATCCCTTTGAATAGACGAAACCAATTGGTATGACAGCAGGATGCTGCACCTCCTCACAATGGAATTGAAGTCACGAACTACCTCAATGAGAGTTATGACACTTAGATTGGAATGCGAGGACCAATTTATTACCCGCCCCGTAGCCCAGACCTGAAGTCTTGTGATTTTTTCCTGTGGGGAGCGCTGAAAGACAAGATCTATGAACATGATACTGACTTCCTGAAAAATAAAATAACAGACGAAATTCAGTTATTGAATAATGATCCAATATTATTTGAAAGGATACGCCATAATTTTATAGCAAGGTGCCAACTCTGCATTGACCAGAATGGCGGAATTTTTGAAAATTTGTTGTAGATAGCTCTAATGTGTATTCACAATCTCATATAGTTCATTCAATAAATATTGTTTATAAAGATTCATTCAAGTTTTGTTGCCAAGAACTCTTGGTGCTATTTCGACATCTACGCTTGCGGTACTGTAATAGTGTGACACCAAATCTATCCACATAATGATTTGTAGCTTGTTGACTTTTTCATGGAATATTCTTCCAAAGCCCACTATGTTCAACTATGATATAAAGTGAGAATTCATGAAGCGGTATTTTGGTCAACTTTGATCATCAATAACTCAATTATTCTTTATCCGAATATGCAACTCATATATATTTTTGGAATAAAAAAAAGCTCTATCGACATGTTGGGAAATATATAGGGTGTTCCATTGAAAAATCAAAGTTGATGTTCTTTCTGGAAAAACGAATTACCCTGTATATGGAACAACTTCACATAATAAAAGTTTGGGTCGTTTCAAACAACTTTTATATTTAACATTCCTTCATATCTCCGCAAACAAAAGAGTTAAAGGGGGGTTCCATTTTAAGAGGCGCACCCTGTACAAGCTCACAAATAGCAGAGTTCTGTTTGAACCAAATTAAAAAAAGTATTTTGATCTTTGAGAAACTCATCAAGATAGAATTATGTTATAGTGAAGGAAATCAACTAGTATTTATTCTTGGCACACCCAATGTGGAACTTGAAAGTTATGATTATCTCCATTTATATTCCTCACTAACGAAAAAAGATAGTATTTTCAAGAAGCCATCATTCCTCAGTGAAAATTCCTTATACTGAATGAAAAACACTTTGTATATCTGAATTCAAAATGCTCTGGAATCATACCAGAAGAACATATTAGTCAAGAAACGAGTCCTGTCAACATAAAAAAAAGACTGCCTGCAAAGTAGAAATGTTGTTATACTCAGAAACCCTCACAATCTGCCATCAGATTCGAGTCGGAATTCCAGAAATCAAGATCCGGAAACTAAAGAAGAACAAATGGATAATCATCCTCTCCTAGAAGCAGTAGCGCAACAACGATGTGAGAAAAATAAAGATAACGTCCCATTGAAAGGAACCTACCTATTGGAATTCGATTTTGGGTATTAGATCAGAATTGCAGACATCCAGATCAGAAATTATCACAGTTCCAAAGGACAAGTCAATATAATCAATTTGCCCGTAATAACCCCACCACTGAAGAATCAAGAATAAATTCCAAGCCATTGAAGATGGATTCAATCAACTTAGATGAATTGGATCATATCAAAAGTAGATTGAACATTCAGAACGAAGAACTGAATGAAAATTCCTGTCATAGCCAAAAATATAAGCATATGGGCATTAATAATGAATATTTTGGCTGTTACTTCAATTAGTTTTGTCGCCTTCAAGTACTTCAAGAAGAAGCTATAACGGAGGACCTGATCAAGAAAACTACCCCAAGAATCTGAGATGGTGAATCCTTCATCCAACTCAGGATTTTCCATTTGAGCACGAAGAAGTTATGGTGGCACTAGACAACCACTTCATTGTATTAATTATCTTACTATTGTCAATCATTTGCAGACTTGCAGTTTGCCTTTGAATATTGTGTGATGTATTCTGATTTTTGAAAAGTCATTTCGACCGCTCGAACCCAAAACTTGCCTCATATTGAACTAAAATTATCGGAAATATGAAGACATCGGATTTCAGATAACACATTCGTTATTTAATGTTTCTCACATTTCATTCATTTCATTTTTTTCATGTTCTGATTCCCACGAAAAGGGATATTCTGTAATGTTCAGAGAACATCGTGAGAACCAAGGGAATTAAAGTAGGAATTGGTGTTTTTCTTGAATTTCTATAGGTTATATGGAGAAGAGTTATACCTAAGTGTCAAAGTTTATTTGACATCCACGCAGAATATGGGTAGGGTTTATCTTCTCATCATATTGAACTTTATGAAATTTTTTATTCGTGTCCTCAATGTTTTTGTTGATATAAAATCATCCCGAGTCGACGACAAAAACATTTGTGACCTTTGAAATGATTATCTGAGTACCAAAAAGCTTTTTTCCAGGAAAACGAGAAAAACTGCTTAGCAACTAAATAGAACAAAAATTTTTATTCTTGATAATGTAAAGCCAATGTTCAACATGAACATTCAAATATAACATGAACAATTCAAAGGAAACTAACATATTTCTGCAGAAAAATCGTCTTGAAAATGGGAGAGATCCAAGTGCCATGTTAAAGTGATCGAAAATGATATATCTCCATGATAACTTTAAGTTTCAGGCACTTATAATGTTTCTGAAAAACTTTCGGTTATCCTCAGTCGTATAATCCAACATAGCTTCGATGTCTTTTTTTTAGGAATTTTCAGCGGTACTTTGTCAGGTAAACTTGAAAATTCTGCTGAAATGATATCATGAATTTTGTATGCCTTCTCCAGTATACGACATCTCTACCATTCCATCAAATCACTGAAACTTTTTTTTTGTAAGACATCACTCCAGGATCATCTTTGGTGATTCACAACCATGAAGCTTGACTTATACCTATGTACTCGGAAGAGGCACTTTCAAAGTCAAAAATATGTTTTTCTCCCATATCCATTACCTTAAAGGGGTGTGTTGGTCTTGCAGTTACAATACATTTCTTGACTTCTTCAACATTCTATGATTTTGAAACTCTCACACGTTTTTCGATGATTGCATATTCGCGATCTGCAGCAGAGAAACTGTGTCTCGAAATTGAAAATTTGTGATCAATCGTATCGAACTTGCCAGTGGCCACGAGACAAATGTACAAAAACAGTAACATCCTGTTCTTCAACTGCCCTGCACAGTTATCACTCCATACGCACAACTTACGTTTATAGGTATTGAGATGTCCAGTGATCAGGGCTTGTAACAAGCATGTAGCCATCTGATTTTCACCTCGACCAGACTGACCTTCGTGCCAGACGCACATGATCCTATCAGCAGTGTCACTAACATGAATGCCGAACTTGTAGCACGACAACTGGCGGCTATAATACATGCTAGTGTGTGTTAGTTTGGGGAGCAAAAAAAACTTTTTTCTACCTATAGTCACGGTACAAGTGTCGCTTCCTGGTGAAGTGCTATTCCCAGAATCGGTCGTCACAGCCTTAGAAACATTCTCTACCTGTCTGTGATGTAATTCAAGTTGAATATTGGCTTGTTTTGCAACAGTGACGTCTGTGCATTTCGATTCTATGTTAAGGGAGTCACACGTCTTACACGTCTCAACTCGCGGCTTTGTGAAGGATACATTAGGAAAATCCTTCAATAAAACTCTTCGGTAAAACTTGTATGTAACGGTGGTGCCGGAGTGTTTTATTTTGTGAGATTCAAACAGCCTGTTCACGTTGTGGTCTGAGCTCAAATATTCCTTCTCTGATTCAGTCCTGTTGTAATGGCTTTCCTCCCGTGGAAATGTATTGATATGATCCTTCAAGATTTGTCTGACTTGCAGAGTATACTTAAAATGCTTGAAACCACCGCGCTTATCTTCAAAGGTTACACAACCAGCTTGCTTTCTTTTGACGAGCGTGGTAATCTTTTGCGGCTGGATGTCAAAAATTTCCATGGAGGTTTTCTTACATACCCTTGTCAAATTCCCCTGCCCATCTAGGACGGTGGAACTCATAGTGCACTGCCCTCGGCTCTCTGCCTCCTCGTTGAAGGTGCCATGACGACGTCTCTGAACAGGAAGAATTTGAATAAGATCCATCAGATAGGATTCTCGTTCGTTCATTTCCAGTTTGTAGTATAATTCAAACAAAGTTTGCATTCTGCCCATCACATCTCGGCAAAAAAATTAATGTTTATTCCAGAAGCGAAAATGAATATTTTAGTTCACAATCACCGTGTTCGTCGGCAGTCGTCTCGCCAGTTTGTTCTTCTTACTTTTGCTAGTCACGTATTCATTTCTACTCACTCTGGCTTCACTCTCCACTTTTCCTCGACGTTTTTTGTCGTTTTTTCCTCCCCTGAATGCCATTTCATCTATGTTGAGAACCGATCAACAAACTCGAACAGTATCACACAGACTGGCGTACTGAGGGGATTTCATTCGTATGTATTGCTTGACCTTGCGTGGCACTAAGATCTGTTAGACGTGCAATGAGGTCACACCCTTAGCAGCTGAACGAAACTCTCGAGTGTTTTTACAACGAAAGGATAGCGCATTGGCACTTGAATCATATAGGTCTGCATTGACGTTGAAACATAGATGCTTCTGGAATAAAGAAACTGGATTCTCGAAATTTTGGCACTTAGATCTATTAGCCCTGCCACTCCACATTCCTATGATGATCGAAAAACATCGTGTGTACTCAGGGAGGATAGGAAGAGGGCGTAGGTATTGGATTTTTCAAAATTTCTGTAAGGATTCTTTGGCAATACATCCTTTGGCAAATAATTCCAAAGCATTATCGGTCTATATATATGGACAAACGAGTTTTGATGACGTGTTGTTCGACATATTTCAAGACTGACAAAGATAGGATGTGCTGAACTAGAGAAGCAAACTCCTTTCCCCAGTGTAGTCTGCTTTATATTCACTACAGAGAGATGTCGGCCATTATTAGACATTTCCAGGCACCAAGTAAGATAAATCTATCGAAAATAATGATTTTTCGAATTATTCGCCCATATCGGGTTATAATTCTGAAAGTTTCATCCAATTTCCATAAAATTTTTTAGATAGACATGCATTTATTGTTGTTGAGAACACAATAATTCAAGGGCGCTACTTGTTTTCAAGCTAATTTCGTTTTTTTTTTTGTTTGGAAATAAAATGACCATTGTTTATATTTCATAGCCTCAAGCGGAGTTGACAGTCAAACTTTTCACGTTTTGCTTCCACGTTTCGTATTCTGCTTGGTGAAAGCAGAATCTGAAATTGAAGTGAAGCAAATGTCATTTTGAACAAAAAACGTCAACGTGAGTTTTTACGGCTTGTTCAAATAACATAACCTCGATTTAAATCACGATATTTCATAACAATTAATACAATCATGAGTTGAATAATGTATAATATAAGAGGACAATAAATCTTGAAAGAAGGAAATATTGGGTGAGGCCATCATTGAGAAGTAGGAAATTGAACAGCATCTACTATTCTCTGGAAAAAAAATTTATAAAAGCATTATCATAACTTTCATGAAATGTCCCATAAACATTTTGGTGAACTTTTAATGACGATTGAACCTCACATTGAGAAACATTCTCACAGTGGATCCATGAGTCCTGTAGGAAGATTGAGTTCACTTTGCGGTGAGGTTCTTCTAAGTGAATTATATCAACTAATACTCATTATTTTTGAATGTATGACGAATCAATATAACGTGGAAAGAATTCATTTTATTACTCATTATGCTGTTCTCAGGTATCTTGCATCAGATTATTAAGGGAACATGTGATGCCCTGTGGACCATTCTGTTCAAGATTGTTTTGCCTACGAGATTCACACGAGACATGTGGCTGAATATTGAAAAAGGTTTCAGAGAACGCTTGAATCTTCCCTACTGCATAGGTTCCTTCGATAAAAACACATCATAATACAGGAAAACGAGCACTATGAACATTATTCCAAATTTTTTGGGATTTTCTCTCCTCGTTTCTATAAAATAAAAATATGAATATTATTTCAATATACGTGTAGTAAGGACAAATCAGATAGTATTTGAGCACTATGAAATTCAAATTCAGGGATAAATAGCAGTACTGTAGGTATTGTAGGTAGTTGACTAATTTACCAGATTTACAAATTCTGCAGTATGATTTAAGGCACCACCCAAATCAGGAAGTTATTTTTTCAATAGAATCAATGTTACTATGAGATTGGAAGTACGGATTCACTCATATAGATGTTGGTGTACAAGGAAGGCAGAGTGATTTCGAAGAACAGGATTTCTCATAAAAACTCAGAGGTAATCAATTGAATATACTTAACCCAAGCAAGATTGATGGAATTTATCAAAACATTCCATATTTGTTTGCAGCAGATAGGGCTTTTAGTTCAGGCATGAATATTATGAGGCAATTTCCTGGAAGGTTCCTTGAAGACAGAAAAACATTTTCAATCACAGGTAGTTATTTACTTTGATCAATATTAGATTTGACAAGCCAGCGTAGCCTCGTCGTTAGAGCATCAATGTTCTATCCACGTTGGATTACCGGTAGTGGGTTCGAGTATCACCACGACCGCAGACATTTTTCTGATGGCCTAAGAAAGTGTTTGGGATCACACGTTAAGAGGTAAGACCCCCGTCATTTCTTGCTCGCACAAGTCTCTTGGAGACTTCTGAGGGTTTCTCGTAAGGGGGCAACCGAATGATGGATAAGAACAATTTTCTTGAGAACAATCAAATATACCAACTATACTATTTAGATTCGATTTTGTTGAATATCAAAATGTCTCAAATTAAGCAGAGGCCGTAGAGTCATTAAAAACAGTTTTGAAGTATTTGTTTCAAGATGGAGAGTATTGAGAAAAATTCTTATTGCCTCACTAGCTACCATGAACAGAATCATACTAGCATTTCTGCCTCCACAATTGGCTATTAGAGAAAAAAAAAAGAGACTAAGTAGGTATTTCAATGAATACTTGGATACAGCAATGACTCCTGATGTTAAAAATAATGATACACATTCCATGAGGAGCATACAGCGGCGAACGAGAAATAATATGTACATTAACAAAGATGCTTCATCTATCAGAAATGCCTTAACTGATCGCTTCTTAGGTGTAGGAGCTGTACCACCTCAGTGGAATGAGTGATGAGACATCTTGAATATGTTATGAACTCAAATAATAGATCATAAATGTGTTGCTCTTCAATGTTTATTTCTTCCTTCAGTTTTTACAAACATGAAGAATGATATTTTGGTTGAATAATCTAGACAGTATGATTGACCTTATGAAATATGAGTTCAAATCTCATGACATGATGATGGGTAAAATGGAAACATGGTAATTACCTTCTCACCTAGTGTTCAATTAGAAATGGAAATTCATATCTAGGAAATATATTTATTCAATGGAATATAAACATAGGGAAAACGATCGAAAAAATGGTTGATAACAATATTTTTGGATTTCTGGGACACCTATTCGGTATATTTCAACTACTTCCTATTGGATGTTGAGAATTGACACTCATTTGGTGAATTCTACCTGAAGTATTTGATTCGAAATAAAAACGAATTCCTCAGTGTTGTGATTCAAGTGATCCCTATTGGATAGTGGGGGCTGACAACCATTTCGTATATTCCTCAGTATATTCTACCTCATTAAACTAAATTGAAAACGAATTCTCCTGATAGAGTACTTCCTATCGGATAGTGAGAGCTGTCACCCATTTGGTATATTCTACCTCCAGTGAATAAATCAAAACGAATTTTTCAGTCTTTTGATAAAGTACTCCCTATTAAATAGTGAGAACTGACACCCATTAAGTATATTTTACTTCTGATAATTAAGAGGAGGATACACCATGCATCAGTGCAATGAAAACATGATTTCTCCGCCCCCACTTTTCATTGTTTAATATTGATTTTTTCGGGAAACAAAAAATATACTGAGATGCAGAATTGAAGTATCTAGGTTGCTCTGATAGTGGAATTTTGAAAAAAATCACCGATATTCTGTTGAAAAATCATGAACATGGCATTTTTCGGATGGTGAACAGCAGAACAGGGTAAAGACGAATTGATGTATGTATATATTTATAAACAGCATATGTCTCACTTCAACCTCCGCCCCCCCTCTATATCTCAGCTATTATTGCTATCAATCTTGCGATTCTTACTAAATTTGCCGTGCGTTCTTATTGGAATTAAGATGGGTCGATTTTTTATGAATCAGGATTTTTTTGTAGGAAAACTAACTTTACAGAATTGTTTCACTGATAGTTCTCAAACCGCCATGTGCAAAAATTCAGTAATTTTGTATTACTAATAGAGTAGGCCAAATTTCTCTCTTCATTATTTGCCCCGAATAAATAATTACTTCTAATTAGCCGCAAATTCTGGGAAGTTCAATAGCTCCAGTAGGTAAAAACTTATGGTTCACATAAAAAACAAGAATATGTAAGCGAATTAATTATCTGCTACCGATTTCTCAATAGTGTTCATTTTACCACGGATTTCTATTATGATACAGATTTCAACCAATGAAGACACGTTCCTTTCATTATAATACCAATGTTTGGCTCATAGAAACACGTACAGTCGTCTTCAGAGAACATGTCGCACATAAGAGGAGGATATACACCCTGCATCACTGCAATGAAAACATGATTTTTCCGCCCCCACATTTCATTGTTCAATATTGATTCATTCGAAGAACAAAAAATATGATGAGATTCAGAATTGAAGTATCTAGGTTTATCAGGAAGTAGAATTTTGAAAAAAATCACAGATATTCTGCAACAGAATCTTTAACATTGCATTTTTCGAGTATATTCCGATTCCACTGAAAAAAGTAAGGAAGAAAATCAAAATCTGCTTCCAGAGAACATCCTTTCATCCTTTGTGAAGAGCTCAGTATTTTTTGATTCACGAAAAACAATTTCTCAGACTAGGAAAAGTGGGGGCGTTCGATCCCATGTTTTCTAACATTTCGACATTGATTCCTAGCGTCCTCACCGAAGAATGCCGAAACTACTTATCAAAATCAAATTACGGACATATTCTGCTTCCATGAGATTTCACCAGGGTGATTCATAAATGAAAATACCTAGTACACATTCAGGATGTACTTCACCCATATGGAGGAGGTTCATA